GAGTAATTAGAGAAGCATAACAATCAGATTACCAATAAGGACAGGAGTAATTCTTGATCATTGAGAGAGGAAAAGTATCCGGAAGGTTAATTGCGAGACTCAACAGAAGAGAAAGGAGAGAGCAGGGGGAAGAAAGTGTCTCTCGGGGTTAACCGGAGGGGGCTCGGAAACATGCTCTGAGGTGTGGTCATGGCGGCATCGTGGGTGTGGGCGACGGCGAGGGACGCCCGCCTACAGAGTGTCGAGAGAGGAGTGAGGGTGTTAGTAGCCAGCGCTAAGGGGGGGTGGGTGGACTCCGGGGACGCGGCACCCGGGATGAAGGGCGGGGAGGAGGGGGCGGGGTGAGGGGGTGAGAAACATGAATACTGAGGGTGTGCTGCATGACACCAAGGACTATTAGACAGGACGACGACCAAACCTTGGGCGGGAGCCGCTGGCGCTGGCCTCCTCGGGCGCCTCGGTGGTCTCCTCGTCGCGGGTCTTACTGGCGCCCCCTCGGCGCGAGGCGGCGCGCCCGCGGCTGAAGCGGTGGGTGGTGCCCTCGGGCTCGGGCGTGGTGCTGGCGGCGGCGGCGGAGGAGCGTGAGGAGCCGCGGCGGGAGGGGCGGAACCGGTTGCCGCTGGGCTCCTCGGCGACTTCGGCGGCTGCGACGGCGCGGCCGCTAGTGCGGCGGGAGCCTGCCCGGCGCGGGCCCGAGCCGGCGGCGTCGGCGCGGGCGTGGTGGTGAGGGCGGGGGGCGGGGCCGCCGCGTGGTCTGGGTGCGGTTGCGGCTCCTCGCGTTCCTGGCGAGGTTGACGAGGCGGCGGCGGCTCTTGGGCACGGCCGTCGTCGTCTTCGGCGCCGGCGTGGTGGTGAGATCCTCCTCCAGGGGCGCCTCCTCGGCCGCGGGCGCGACCTCGCCGGTCTTGGGCGCAGCCTTGTCAGCGGCCGCCTCCGCCGGGGCGCCCTCGGCAGGCAGGTCGTCGTAGTAGTAATCGTATAAGTCATCAGCGGCTGCCTCCTGGGCGACCGCCACCGCCGCACAGGCCGCCAGGCCCAGCACTAACCTGCAATGCAAGGGGCGCGTCAGTTGCTGCGAGCGAGGGCAAGAATTACCCACAACCAACATTCTTTAATGGTGACTGCTATTTCTGGCTGTGGCTTAAATAGCGCAAACAAGATGACTGTGTGTGTGTGTGTGTGTGTGTGTGTGTCAATGCGTGTATCCCAATAAAAGTACATGCCCATTCATCTCTGGCTAAGTACAAATTACATGCACAAACGCCCTCCCCCTCCCCCCTAAAATGTTAATCAACAAAATATATAGATAAACAACCAAGTACCTGCACCAGAATTCATCCATAATCTGGAGAAAGCCCCCCCCCTCTCCCCCTTCCCCCTCACCCCTCCCTATGTCAACGGCCGCAGACACTCGCTGACCTCGGCTGCCCTAGCATGACACATGACACTTTATGGAGAGAAAGTGAGGGAGGTAAAGACAGGAGGTGGGGGGGGGGGGGGTTGACCTACAGAGTCTTGTATTCGGCATCTTAGGAAATTCCTGATTTTTTTTTTTTTTTTTTTTTTTATCGTGTGAAACTGTCTTACATCAACTTCACTAAGGGCATTGACTCTTTTCTTGACAGGTAAGATATATTGAGGTCGTGCGTATAAGCGTGCTTCACCGCGCGTGTATATTTGGAGATAGATATATAAATAGATAGAGATGAGAGAATGTAAAGGCAGAGGTACGCCAATAAAACAGTGAACGTGATACAAAATAAGATAAAGGATGGAAAAGAAAGATTAAAAAAAAAACATATGCAGGTAAAGAGAAAGAAAAAAAACAAATATCACTTGAAAACAAGTGACAATCAACATGAAATCCTCAATTTACTCTAGTCAGAAAGTAATAATACATTCATCCCTTGATCTTAAATTTTTCCAGTTTTCAAGAGAAGAAAATTGGGACCAGATTAGCAAAGAAGTGGCTTTCCTTATCACGGTTTTATGAACTCGAAGCCACTGTTTTGGCGCGGGGGAAAGCGAGTAGCTAGCGTATGGCGTCCTAGATGCGTGGCTCTGCACACTGTTGCAGTCAATGGAAGGAAAAGCACATTCTTCCACACTTTCACTTCCAAACGACTTGTCTAGCTGGGCTTTATCCGCAATAAAAAAGTAAACAAAATCTAGTTGGGTTTTATCTCCAATGATAAGAAATAAACAAAACCCTTTAAGATACTCTTGCGTTGATCGCGCCAAGAAGAATGTTAAACAAAAACATCTTGGGAGATTTTCCACACGCGTCAGTCATGTGAACCACTTTTTGCAAATGTTTTTTTAAGCAATGTGGAAAGAAAATGTGATAAAGCTTTTCCATTTTTTTAGATTCAGAGAAAGCGTTTCGTCCAAGAAATTAGATATGAAAACATTTCCACTCGAAAATTAAGCATAAATGAGGGCCAATATTCCCACTCGTGAAATCTGAGACAAAAACAGTTCCCAGCGGAGATATGTTTTAAAAATCGCCAAAGTTCCCCCTTGGTTAATTGGAAAATCGCCCCAGTTCCTTCAATAAAAAGCAGAAAGTAAAGGTTCCCACTCGAGAAATAAATATTTTTAAAAATCGCCAAGGTACGCCCTCGAAAGACTGTTAAGATATTCATATCCAAGGTTCTCACTCGAGGAATGAAAAACAAAGATAATCAAGGTTCCCACTCAAGAAATGAAAAATACATAACTCCTACTCAGGTGATTAAAAATACAAAAATCCCCCCACGAGAAAGTTCCGCTCAAGTAAGTCAAAAATGACAAAATTCCCCCACCAGTAAGTAAAAATACCAAAGTCCCCCCTCGAGAAATTTTAAAAATACCAAAGTCCCCCCTCGAGAAATAAAAATAAATACCAAAGTCCCCCCTCGAGAAATAAAAATAAATACCAAAGTCCCCCCTCGAGAAATAAAAAAATACCGAAGTCCCCCCTTCAGTAAGTAAAAATAGCAAATTTCCCCCATCAATAAGTTAAAACTGCATCTTTCCCTCTCCCTTCCCGGCTCTTTTAACCACCCGGATAAAAAAAAAGGAAAAGAAAAAAAAAGAAAAAAGAAAAAGCGAACACCCCTTCCCTCGTCACGAACGCACGCACGCGGCGCCGCATCAGTCACTGCGCCTCGGTGAAATGTGCGCAGTGTCTTCGGGTGAATGTCTTTTGACTGACTCATGCGCGAGGAAAGTTTTGCGTGCGGAGAAATCATGCCGGTTTCGTTTGCATGTTTGGATAGCAAGTTTATGTTCGTGTGGATTTGAGGGTTTTTTCTTTCTAGAGTGGATATATGATGGAGTTTACTGAGTTACGTGGGTGTTGTTTTTATGAAGGGGTGAGTTTGTTTGTCTGAATGTGTGTATGAGAGAGAGAGAGAAAGTGTGTGTGTGTGTGTGTGTGTGTGTGTGTGTGTGTGTGTGTGTGTGTGTGTGTGTGCTGCGTGTGCGTGTGCGTGCGTGTGCGTGTGCGTGTGCGTGCGTGTGCGTGTGCGTGTGCATAAAAGGAAAGAAAGAAACAAAAACACGCAAGCAAATCAGAAGTGCACACAACTCCGCATATACAACACTAAAACCACGACCTGTCCAACCACACTTCACATCTCTTCCCTCAAACCGATAACAGTAACGGACCGGGGGCTGAGGATGAGAAGCCCGCAGCCCAGGACGTCAGACACACGTCCCTCTCGACGGCAAAAACCTCAAGGACCCCAAACTGGAGCAAAAACTCGAGGCGCAGGAACTCGTTCGGCCGCGCTTCCTCGGGGGTCACGTGATCGAATGGGCTGATTGCTTGTTGAGTTGTCGCCTTGCTTGATTTTGCGCTTTTTTTTTTTCTTTCTTTTTTTTTCTTTTTTGGTCAGTCTTTTGTTAGATTGTCTCCCTTGATTTATCTTTTTGAAGATTTGTTTGGATTTAAATTGCTTTTCCTTTATTTATCGGTGTTTATTTTGATTTAGATTACCCCCCCCCCCCACTCTTTCATTTATCTTTTTATTTGTTATCTTGTTAGATTTCCTCCCTTGATTTACCTTTTTACAGATTTGTTTGGATTTAAATTGCCTTCCCTTTATTTACATTTGATTAATTTTATTTAAGTTACCCACCCCCCTTTATTTACATTTCTTGTTACCTTGTTAAATTGCCATTTTGTGTTGATTTGCCTTTTTTGTCTTGTTTTTAATTGCTTCGCTTCATTTACCGTTATTTATTTTTATTCTACTTACCCCTTCATTTACTCTCTTTGTTATCTTGTTAAATTATCACTTTGTGTTGATTAACCGATCTTTTGCATCTTTTGTACGCTTTCGTTTGACAATCTTCGTTAAATTTCTTCGTTAACGTAAACTATAACGAATATTAGTGTTCAACGGAATCAGTCACGTGTTACAGATTATACGAGTGGCTTCTATGAACGAAAATGCTCTTCCTTAGAGACAAGGTAATATTTACGTTCTGAATTATATACTGCAGTGCGTGTGTGTGTGTGTGTGTGTGTGTGTGTGTGTTGTGTGTGTGTGAGTGTGTGTGTGTTGTGTGTGTCTGTGTCTGTGTCTGTGTCTGTCTGTGTCTGTGTCTGTGCGTGTGCGTGTGTGTGTGCTTATGTGTGTATGTGTGTGTGTGTGTGCGTGTGTGTCTGTGTCTGTGTCTGCGTGTGCGCGTGTGTGTCTGTGTTTATAAGTATGCATATATATAGTATGTGTTTGTACATATGTCCGTAAATTAATAGATATGCAGCAGTATATAAGTGTTTGCATGTGTCTTGTACAAGTACCTGACTATATTGAGTCTTTGTGATCAGCTGAACAAGTGCATGACACTGTATATCCTCAGGTACTTGCCACATAAAGTGCAAACACGCAGACGGACGGACACGGCCTTGACAATTTGGTGGTTATTCATGAGAAAAAAAATGTGTCAAGTCACTTGTCTTGCCTGACGTGATGTGACCTTTGGCTGGAACATTTAACATTTGTGTAACGCAATGACATCGTTAGATTTCCGTTTTTTCTCTTTCTCTGTATTTGTCCCTCTCTGTCTCTGTCTCTCTGTCTGTCTCTCTCTCTCTCTCTCTCTCTCTCTCTCTCTCTCTCTCTCTCTCTCTCTCTCTCTCTCTCTCTTCTCTCTCTCTCTCTCTCTCTCTCTCTCTCTCACACACTCACTCACTCAACACACACACACACACACACACACACACACACACACACACACACACACCACACACACACAACACACACAAACAACACAACACATACACACGCAAACACACACACACACACAATCCCCTCCTCCCCTTCCTCTCCCTCCCTCTCCTCTCCCTCCTCTACCTCTCCCTCTCCTTCTCTTTTCCTTGAGGAATTCCTGTCCTGTAACGGGATCCAGTTAAATGCATCCCGCCGTCCGCCCGGATTGCGCTGAAGAAATATATTCCTTCTCCAGCACCGAATACACTTGAAAATTACCTCCCAACGCGGTACCGGATACTGGTGAGTATTCCCCTCCTTTCGATACCGTTAACCGTGACTAATATTAAAAGAAGGGACGAATAAAAACGATGAATTTGAAAGAAAAATGAAACGAAAATAGGATTCGGTATCACATCTTTGGAAAATTTCACGTACTTTCTTGGAAGATATAAAACTGACATATCTTGCGATCTTATTCAACCTCATTCATCACGTGATTTTGAAATAAATGAAGCAGTGTCGAAACGCGCCATTATGACATATCTGAAAATCATTCATATTCCTTTTTGAATGAAAAAAAACTCTACCTTGTTGATACTATGGTAGAAAAAAACACAATGCACAAACTAGATTTGTTGGTCTCATTTACTTAATTCTTCTTTAATCTCCTTTTTACTTCATTTACTTCAATAATTCTCCTTTTTACCTCATCTACTTCAATAATCCTCCTTTTTACCTCATAAAATAATTCACCCTTTGACTTCACTTCCTTCAATAATTCTCCTTTTTACCTCATCTACTTCAATAATACCTCATAAAGACACGAGCCCAGACGGCGCCCG